ATTCCTACAATAACAAATATAACAATAAATCTTCAACAATAGGAAAGAGCATCAATACTGGAAGATTTTCCTCCATTGATTCCTTCGGTAAATCTTCAATAGGTTGACGGATCCCCTTCTTCCTCTTCTTTTTCTTCTCTCTTCCCCTCTCTCCCTCTATCTGCAATTGTTTTTGAGCCGAGAGGTGTCGATTTGGGTTTTTAAGCCCATTTTCTTTTATTACGTTTAAATCTATGAATTCTTTTAATATTATAACCTGACTCTCATTCATCATCATCATCATCCTTGCCTATATCCCTCATGAATCTCACTCTCATTCTTTCATAAAGATATTTACAAAACTGCCTAGACGTATCCGCAAAGTATCCCTAACTTATCCTAGTGTATCCATTTTGGAGGGAAAAAAATGTATATTTTTACTGTTCCGATACTTCCCAGCTATATCGGATACCTATCCAACTTTATCCGTGTCAAATATGCATCACACGGCCACAGCACTCTCAGGGAAGTATTGCTAGATAAAGCCCAACTCAGACTTTCCAGGTATGGCAATAGGAGTCCAAAATTAAGAATTTTGTGAATTTTTGAAAGGTGGCAAATGGATGCAGGTGCCTTGAGCATTACACTGAGGATCACAAGTTTTGGTGTAAGGCATTTATTGACAGAAGATTACAAAATTGAACTTACAGGGACCTTAGATGTACGTTTCCACTTGATAGGGCTTAGATAAAATTCTATGCAGTTTTGGCACTTTACTCAGTAAGGAATTGAGAATTCTCCTAACTTGACATGACAATTGATTATATTTATGTTTGTCCTCTAAATACAGGAACACAAAATTTTGTTGAATTAACTGGAAAGGATCGGTAGAAGATTTAATTTTCAATTCAGACCATTTAGTTAGGTAATTATTTGGTTTCCTGTTCAGTTTCCAATTCAACTAATGAGGGATTTCCTATTACCTGTTTCTAAAAAAAAATTGTTTTCATAATTTAAAGATGGTTGGATCCACTTTTAAATCTTGACCCACTGGTGGCATTCCTTATCATTTCATGAAATTATGCTAACTCCAATTCTAATTGTATGTCTCATTACTCTCCAATTCTGTTCATCTCTCATTAACATGGGTTGTAGTATCCACTTGGGTCACATAATGGGCTATAACGATTATTCAAGACTTGTGTTGATATGTGCGGATAAAAAAATACAAGATTGAAGAGATAAATTAAGAATGAAACAACACGAGGAAATACATGGTTCGGTCACTACGGCCTACATACACGGCACACAAAGCCTAAAGGGCTACATCACTTTTATTATATTCTCTCTTAATTTTTGTGCACAATGTTCACCTCTATTTATACGCGAAAAGATACAAACATGTGGTAAATAGAATATAGGAAAGATTTCTAAAATCACTCCCACGATTCACTCATATCAATATTCTGTCAAGAAGTGATTTAAGGGCCTTAATCATTCCGATAATGATATTCTCTACCATCCCCCTAAAGTTGGTACACGGAGATTTTAAATAAAACGTCCAATTTGAAACTAAATGCAAAGTTGTTGAGAGTCCAAGACGAGTACACCTGGATATCCAAGTCAAGTTGATCCGGAGATCCGAGACGAATAATCTGGAGATCTGAGACGAGTTGATCCAAAGATCCAAGACGAGTTTACTAATACAATGTTGATAAAAAAAAATAATAATAATAAATTGAAGAGAGAAATTAAGAATTAAACAACACAAAGGAAATAAGAAATGCAAATAAGAAAAGTGAAGAGATAAATCAAATGAGTAGAACGCACAGATATTACGTGGTTCAGCTACTATGGCTTACATCCACATACAAAGCCCAAAGGGCTACATCTCTTTCATTAAAATCTCTCTTAATTTTGTTTACAATAGCCACCTCTATTTATAGGTGAATTGGGGAAGACTTATAGCTAGCTATAATAACGGAATTACACTAAAAGTCAAATACAAATATGGAAACAACTTGTTGCCCAAGTATAGCAACTTAAGATTCTGTCAAGGCCCCCCCCCCCTTCAAGTTGGTGCACGGATATTTAACTCAAGTGTCCAACTTGAAATTAAATATGAAGTTGTCGAGGGTCTGAGATGAGTTGATGCAAAGATCCGAGACGAGACTTGTTGATCCGAAGATCCAAGATGAGTTAATCTGAAGATCCGAGACGAGTATAGAGTAAGGTATTATAAACCTGCTCTGATACCATGTTGTAAAGCATAAAACAAAAATGAAGAGATAAATCAAACGAGTAGAACACACAGATATTATGTGGTTCAACCACAATGGCTTACATCCACACACAAAGCCCAAAGGGCTACATCTCTTACATTACATTCTCTTTTAATTTTGTTTACAATAACCACCTCTATTTATAGGTGAATTGGGGAAGACTGATAGCTATAATAGAGGAATTACACAAAAATTCAAATACAAATATGGCAACAACTTGTTGCCCAAGTATAGCAACTTAACATTTTGTCAAGGAGTGATTTAAGGGCTTAAATCACTCGTATAATTATTCTTCAACAGAAATACATGGTTTGGCCACTACAACCTACATCCACGGCACATAAATCCCAAAGGGCTACATCCCTTTTATTATATTCTCTTTTAATTATTGTATACAATGATCACCTCTATTTATAGGTGAAGAATACAAACATGTAATAAATATGATATATGAAAGATTCCTAAAATCACTCCCACAATTCACTCATATCAATATTCCGTCAAGAAGTAATTTAAGGGCTTTAATCACTCCAATAATGATGTTCTCCAAACAATATGCATGCCTAAGGAGTAGGTGAAGCTAATATCAGAGAAGAAACTACTGTGGCCTATCTAAACTCTTACAAAACCGTGTCAGACCAGTAAACTCATCTGATCCAAGCAGCTCTCTCTCTCTCTCTCTCTCTCTCTCTCTCTCTCAATTTTATAAATTCAAGATTGAATGAACCCTTTTAGCAAAATGAAAATTTTGTTTGGACCATTCATTGTGTGATCAACAATCATCTTTCTATATTGGGAGCTAATGGAAGTAATTTATTAATTTCACAATTGGTTGAAGAAGAGGGAAAACATCTCCACCTTCAATATATTAATTACTTAAAATCACTGACCTGCGCCTCAGAACCTTTTCGGCAAAATCGTCGGCAAAATGACGATTTTGTTGGACCAGACATATTGAGTGATTGACAATCATATTTCTATGGTGGAAGCAAATGAAAGCTTATATAAATTGCATGATATATTGTAATTTGTAACTAAAAAAAATAAAGATGATGGCAGATGTGGTCGTCTTAAAGATATTTAACTAATAATAAATGCTAACCATTGTATGAGAACTGTAGGAATGAGGAAGTATTTTTTTGATCTGATGCTGTGAAGGAGCTAATATGGGTATTTACACCATGCATCTTTTTAGGTGCACAACTTTGTTATCTAGGTCGAAATGGGAAACAATCTTTGTGCATGCGGAGGTAAGGCTGCGTACATCTGACCCTCCCCAAACCTTGCAATGGCGGGAGCTTCATGCACTGGGCTAGTCCTTTTCTTTTCATAACCTTTGTTATCTATGTGTGTACCTATTACCTCAACTTGTCTGTAGCCTGATTTAGGATCTCCTAGTTACATTTCAGTAGAGGTGGGGAAGAAGAGGGGTGGTTTTACACAATTAAGTCCATAATATGGGACAATGCTATGTATTCTTTTGGACAGATATTGGATTAAACTTGGTTGCAGCACCATTATAATGAAAAAATGCTAAAATCCATCTTCAAGCTACACCTCTATTTTAAATCTATCCTGGCATGCCACGTTGTGTATTTAATTGACTGGTCTCATTAAGTGCTGCACTGACATTATTTTAATTTATAAAATTTATGTTTTTTTTTTTTCATTTAAATGTATATGGTTTGGAGAGGAATAGAAGAAGAATAATGGTGGTTTATCTAGCATAAACTCGGACACGAGACATGAAAGCGACATGGGTTGGAGATGTTAACAAAAAGCAGGGCACTGAAATGGCAAGTTCACACTCTGTGTATGCGAGAGCGCGCATACGTTTCTTCTAAATGACTCATATTATGCATTAAGATCCATATACAGTGTAGAAAACACAACTTTTCAGGGATTACAGGAAACGGTGAAATTTCAGATTTTTCTGCAACTTCCATAAAGCATATGGAAGACTAGATCTCTTCTCGAGAAACAAGTGGGCTATTTCTTTGCAAAATTGTGCTCAATTTCATTTCGCTTTCGTCTCTCAGTGTCAGTTTCGGTCCAACAGAGTACGGTGTGGTCATACTCGGTTTAATGTATAATGTACCAGGAGTTTTCAGAATCATTTTGAGACTAAGCTTTACGAATAGATGCTAAATTGGAAATATAGATATACAAACACAAAGGAAAGTAGGAAATCCACATTTTTATTACTTTGTGGTTGATTGGACTCCAAAATAAATTTATGCATGATGTGCCATCTCAACAGGTCATGTGCCTAACATTTGCAGCTGTAATCATCACTGGTATGAGAATCAAGTTCTGTGGTTTGATAATCAAGGCCTTCCTTTTGTTTTTTTGATGTGAAGCATGGGAGTAACTAATTATGTAGTGCAGACATGGACTTGCTCTCGAATATATATATGTGCATATCGACATGTTTCAATTTTGCCTTTTCCAGCTCAAACAAGTTGTTTCTCATTGAAGTTGTTCTGCATTAATGAATTGACAAAGTAGGAGAAACGTATCTTATGATATTGACACATTATGTTTATGAAACTCATTATTTAAATTTCTTTTCTTGTGAAGTGATTGTTATGGTAATTAACAGAGAATGATGGTTTGCTTTGTATTATTCATATTTTGATATGTAACTTAAAAGTAGAAAAAGGAACAGTGTCAAACTTAGTTCAAATTCAGATTCGGTTCACATTAAGGTTTGCCAATTTGACTATTCTATTTTTGCAGGAAAGGAAATTGGGTTTTACAGAAGCCATGAAACTTGAAATTGAACGTCTTCGACTTAATCTTTCTGCTGCTGAACGGGATAGAGCTTTATTATTAATTGGAACTGATCCTGCTACTATAAATCCAAATATGTTGCTTGATGATTCTTACATGGGAAGATTGTGCAGGGTTGCAAACAGCCTTGCAGTGCTTGGCCATGTTTCACTTGAAGACAAAATCACTGCTTCTATTGGTCTTGAGACCATTAATGATAATGCTATAGATTTCTGGAATATTACTGGGGTTGGTGAGAGCTGTTCTGGTGGCATGTGTCAGGTTCGTGCTGAAACTGGAGCACCTGGACACACATCATCCACAGTTTCATCTTCTGGGGATTCACAGTCTATCCTTTTGTGTTCTGAATGTGAGAGAAAAGTTTGTAAAGTTTGTTGTGCTGGGAGAGGAGCTCTTCTATGTGCTGCCTATAACACGAGGGAGGTTTCAAACTATAATGGTTTATCAAGTCAGGGTGGATCAAACCATGGGAGCGCAGACCTATCTTCAAATCGTTTGGTAACAATGGATGGGGTTATTTGTAAACAATGCTGCCATGAGATTGTGCTTGATGCATTGATCTTGGACTATGTCAGGGCCTTGATTAGCCTGCGAAGAAGTGCTCGTGCAGACAGCGCTGCACATAATGCTTTGGACCATGTGATGGGATTTTCTTCAGGAGATTTTCTTTCTGAAAAATATCAGTCTTCTGATAGTCAGGGAAGTTTGAAGATCTTAAGAGAGTTACTTAATGGAGAGGAATCACTTGCCGAATTTCCATTCGCCAGCTTCTTACATCCGGTATTGTCCCAGCTCTTATCTTGTCTGATTTGAATATGTTTGTGGAAATGACTTTCCTTCTCCTTATCATAAATTCTCTTGATTTCTGAATGTTTCTCAGAGTTATTAGACTTACCATGAGTTCTATTGTTATACCTTAAGCATTTTGTGGTACCACTCATCTTTGTGATTGTTGTTCAATGTCTCTTTAGGTAGAGGGCCATGGTGGTCTCTACACGTGTTAGAATATCTCTACTGTTTCTACAATCACTGTTTCTTCATTGAAACATGTCACAGATCTTATCTAGTTCTTTCTGTTTGTGTTTCTTTCTGGAATGCATTGATTCACTTAGCTATATGAACTTGTATTTTTGCCCTAGAGTACCCATGTTGACATGACATTATATGTGTACGAGGAAAGGGTATGGCATGAAAAAAAGGAGTGGAAATGACTACCATGCGACACATATTCTGTTGTGTTGAATGAAAAAAGAGAGCTTAAATTTTGTGCCACCTTAGCATCACTAAAGATTAATTGAGTACTCAAGTCATTGGAGGAGTCATTGCAAATAAACCCTTGTATTATGGCACTCTAAAAGATACAGTTTCATGGGTGCTTCTATGATCTATTAAATTTTTATAGGATTCCACACTGATAATATTTATAACGACATCTACAATAGTAATAACCAGAATCACCCTTATTTAAATTAAAAGTCTAAAACACACAGCCTTCCCAAATTTTGGGCACTTAGACATGCTGAAAGTGTTTGAGCATCAAAGGACTCAAGGATTATATAGACCACGCAAGGAACTGAAAGGTTAGTGATTGAAGGGCTGGGTGCACATCCAGTTATTTGTTGAATTAGTTAGCCGTATGTCTGATTTCCTTCTACTGACTATTTGAATTTTAATGAAGTCAGATTTTAATTCCCCTTTAGATAAGCCAGAGTCCAATCATGGATCTAAAGCCCATACACATCCAATTTATGTGGAAAATCAAGTGCTTGGGCAAGATTATATTTTTATTTAGTTCATTTTAGTTGAGTTGGTTTCTGACCAATTTTGCCCTGTGATGATGTGTAAAAATAGAAAACAGTGTTACTTGTGCAGCTGCATATCACACAAAAATCTTGAAGCATGCTCAAATTTGCTTTAGAACTATGTATTACACATGGCAGAACTTTCCTCAAGTTAGGCATGGTAGTTGACTTGGTATGGCTATACGTCCGATTGAATCTGCTTGGTATCCTGTTTTATGATTGTAGAATTGGCCATTCCCAAATATCATCATCTTGAGATTCATTTCCTATATGCTGGGGATATGACCATGTTAATCTTGTTTCCTTGATGCTGATCATGTCCAATGTTTGTTGAACAAAAAATTCTATAAATCTGAACTCATTTCATGCAGAAATCGTTATTGTACCTTCAGATTAGATAGCCTAGATTGCAAGATATCATGACAAGAAGATTCAAGACACTACCTAATTTTGCATTCTAATTTTTTAGTATTCATATGTTAAAAGTGTTCAACTATTTATTTATGCTTAAATATTTGTTATGTGATTGTAGGTTGAAACAGCAGCAGGTTCAGCACCATTCTTGTCGTTGCTTACTCCATTCAATTCTGGCTCACGTCATTCATACTGGAAAGCGCCCCCCAGTATCTCCACTGTTGAATTTGTTATTGTTCTTGGTAATCTTTCTGATGTCTCAGGGATTGTCCTCCTTGTTAGTCCCTGTGGCTATTCAATGTCTGATGCCCCTACTGTGAGTACACCTATCTTTTTACCCACATTTTTGTTAAATGAATAGCAGCAGTGGGTGAGTGGTCTGTCTGGTTAGAGCCCTGTATTTCTATGTGCCTACAAGAAGCCTAAAAGTTTGACATTATGTCCTTGCATCATCTTAACTTATAAATGTTTTGTTGGGTATTGGCTAAAATTGGATTTCATAATTTATAATGTCGTCTTTTAAAAATATTTTTAGAAGTTTTCTTGTGGAAAGAGATTATATATTTCCCTACGGATTATATTTTTCAATTTATATATCCGTAGTACTTGTCCAATAAGGAACTAGGTTTAGGGACTAAATAAAATAGCTATATTATTATATGAGGTTATAAGAGTGACAGGGTAATTTGCAGAATTACAGTTATATAGTTGTGGTTATTGTTGTAGTATTTATTCTCATATGTGAACTTAGAAAACAGCAGTTCAACAACTTTTTTAGTATGACATGCTTGCCTTTCGTCATTGTGTTGTTATTTAGGTTGATATTAAATTTGTAGTAGCATACTGTAGGCATAGGACCCAACTTGTCAGGTGGCACTCTATGTCTTGCCACACACTCACTTTCTGCCTCACCACATGGCACATTCACCTTGCCATCTGTCTTCTCTTCTACAATAACATCGTGATATTCCTTTAAATTGAATCTCCATTTGTCAGGTCCTCCATACATGTGTGCTAGCTATTTCTAGCTGCCCTCGGTTGTCCCCACCTCATGAACCAACCTTTGATACAGTGCTATAAGAGGAGGGGGACAACAGTAATATCAAGATTATCGTAGATTTTCTCTTACCACTTATTCTGTCCCTAAGTTTGCTTTTCTGTTCGGTTTAGCAATGTCTGGGCATTCAATTTTCTTATATGCAACACCTCCATCACTAGGCCTAGTTTGATCATATTAGTAGTTATAATTTTTTTCAATATTTTCCCAGATTCAATTGAATACATAATTTTTAGTGCCTCTATCCCACGGTAATTGGTGCTCATCGTATCTAGGTTATTATTATTTTTTTAATATTGATTTTCCTTCAGCAATCATTTTCCTATGATAGTCATATACTAATTTGAACGATTTTTTGTTGTAACAACTGCTAATTTTCATGTTCTACCACTAATTTCATGCATTTTCTTGACAAGTATCCTTCTACTGTTACTGCAGGTGCAAATCTGGGCCAGCAATAAAATACATAAGGAAGAAAGATCGTGCATGGGAAAGTGGGATGTTGAAACCCTGACCACATCTTCGTCTGAACTTTGTGGACCAGAAAAGTCGGGTAAAGAGGCTAAAGTACCGAGGCACATAAAATTTGCCTTCCGGAATCCTGTTCGATGCCGCATCATTTGGATTACACTACGTCTTAAAAGGGCTGGTTCAAGTTCTGTTAATTTTGAGAAAGATTTTAATCTTTTGTCTTTAGATGAAAACCCTTTTGCACAACAGAATAGGCGTGCCTCTTTTGGAGGACCAGTTGAAAGTGACCCATGTATTCATGCAAAAAGAATTCTAGTAGTTGGAAGCCCAGTGAGAAAGGATATAGGGCATACATCACAACAAAACTCTGAGCAAATTAATTTAAGAAGTTGGTTGGAGAGAGCACCGCAATTAAATAGATTCAGGGTGCGACTAATGCTTTTCTTCTTGTTCAGCCATGTGTAGGTTTGCTTTTTATATTTTGTATCACATATATTTTTACCAATAATACTCTTTCCACTTTCAGGTTCCAATTGAAGCTGAGAGGTTAACCAACAGCGATCTTGTTTTGGAACAGTATTTATCCCCTGCTTCACCTTTGCTGGCAGGATTTCGTCTTGATGGTTTCAGTGCAATAAAGCCTCGAGTTACTCATTCACCTTCTTCAGATGTAAATATATGGGACACATCATTAAACCTTTTAGAAGACAGACACATTTCTCCAGCAGTATTACATATTCAAGTTTCTGTTCTTCAGGTATTCATACTGTTATATTATTATTCAGTTGTCTGCACCATGGATCTAATAATATTATTTTTATTTCTTTTGATGTGGCTTTTATTCTCTCATACTAGTTATATGCCGGAAAATGTTTCAGCTAGTGCAACAGGAATTTTCAAATGGCCAAAATTCAAATAGCTAACATTTTTTTTGATAAGTAAAAATAACATTAAATAAGGTGTTCAAGAGGAGAACACGTCACAATTACAAAAGTTGAACCGGCGCTAAGGCCCCAAAGAATCCAAGAAAGTAATTAAATCATCAGAAGAGGAACAAAAGCTTCTCTTCACATAATTGAAAAGAGAACGAAGTATGTAAAGTTTGACCACTGCCGTAGGTGACTCTTTCCCTTCGAACATTCTGCTATTTCTCTCATTCCAAACATGGATTAAATCCTTAGTAGATCGTGGCATTACCCAACACATGCCAAACAACCCAACAATAAGATTCCAACAGTCATTCGCCACATGGCAATGCAAAAGGAGGTGATCAACGGACTCCTCATTATTCTTGCATAGACAACACCGATTAACAATACAATTGCCCCTTTTCCTCAAGTTATCAATTGTCAGAATCTTTCCCCACACGGCGGTCCAGACAAAGAAAGCCACCCTAGTTGGAGCCATGGACCGTCAAATAGCTTTCCACGGGAAGTCTTGATTAACAAAATTAGACAAACATAAGAACAAGGATCTTACTTCAAAACGACCGTAGGAAGAAGGAACCCAAATCAAATCGTCATTATCTCTGCCAACGCCCTCCTGCCGATACAGAAGATCTAGAAAAACACATACCTCGTCCATCTTCCAATCCTGAAAAGAGCACCGAAAATGCACATCTCACATAATCCCGCTGCTATCAAGCCGATAACAGTCAACTACGTAGGCGTGTTTATCAACAGCAATACTGAATAATTTAGGAAATGTACGAGATAGTGGCTAATCACCACACCAAAGATCTTCCCAAAGCCGAATGCGACGACCATTACGAACTTTGAATTTGATATGAGCAGAGAAAGCATCCCAACCCTTCTGAATAGCCTTCCACATCCCTACTCCTCCCACAAGGGTAACCGGACGTGTAGACCAACCTCCAGCCTTTTCTCCAAACCGACAAGAGACTAACCTGTGCCATGAACGATGCCTTTCCCTCCCATATCTCCATAACCATTTGCCCAGGAGAGCTTGATTGAAAGGAACTAAACGTCTTATTCCAAGTCCACCCAATTCCACAGGCTTACAAACTTGCTCCCATCTGACAAGGTGGTACTTGAACTCATCGCCCTTTCCTCCCCATAGGAAATCCCTTTGAAGTTTTTCAATCCTATCTGCAACGGAATAGGGGATTTGGAACATAAAAAGAAAATAAGTGGGAAGGCTCAATAACGTACTCTTAATAAGAGTAACTTTACCCCCCTTGGACAAGTATTGCTTCTTCCATCCTGTCAATCTCTTCGCATACCTGTCAATCACGGAATCCTAACTTCCCACTAACCTTGAAGAGACCCCTAGGGGCAAGCCCAAATAAGGAATAGGGAAAGAACTCACCTTGCATCCAAGAACTGCAGCTAAAGAGGAAATATCCTGAACATACCCTACTGGGACAAGCACACTCTTAGCCACATTGCCTGAAAACAAGTCAATATACACCTCAAGTATCGAAGTTGAGACACATCAGCATCACAGAAAACCAGGGTATCATCTGCAAAGAGTAAATGAGAAATCTCCATCTGATGGACTAAATCTCTACCCACCCTGAATCCCTTAATAAAACCAAGGTCCTCTGCCCTGCGCATAAGTTTGCTTAACCCCTCCATAACAACAAGAAAAAAGAAAGATGACAAAGGATCTCCTTGTCTTATACCCCGAGAGCATCCAATGAAACCAGCGGGAGAACCATTCACAAGAATTGGAAACTTGACAGACGAAAGACAGGTCTCAATCTACTTCCTCCATTTACTTCCAAACCCCATTCTTTGTAACAAATAGAGTAGGAAATTCCAATTCACATGATCGTATGCTTTCTTGATATCAAGTTTGCATAAAACTCCAGGAAAACGACGCCGCAATCTGGAGTCCACACATTCGCCATCAATAAGAACTGAATCAAGAATTTGCCGTCCGCCAACAAAAGCATTCTGGGAGTCCGATATAATCCCATCCATTACTTCCCTCATCCTTAAAGCAAGCACCTTAGCAATAAGTTTGTAAATACAGCCCACCAAGCTGATTGGATGGAAATCCTTTATATCTGAAGCGCCTCTCTTCTTAGGGATAAGGGCAATGAATGAAGCATTAAGCGACTTCTCAAAGACACCATAAGAATGAAACTCCTGAAAAGTACCCATCATCTCATTTCTAACTACCGCCCAACTTTCCATCAAAAATCGCATGGTAAAGCCATCAGGCCCCGGAGCTTTGTCCCCATTACAACTTGATAAAGCCTTTAGAACGTCTTCTTCAGTAAAAGGATTCTCAATCCTATCTCTATCCAGCTCAGAAATATCCTCAAAATGGAGACCATCAAGTTTGGGCCTCCAAACTAAAGGCTCGGTATAAAACTTCTGATAAAAGGAAGCAATACCGTTACGCACCTCTTCCTCTCTCCACAGCTCCTCACCTTCCACCCGAATTCTTCCTATATGATTACTACTTCTGTGAGCGTTATCTAACCAGTGGAAGAATTTTGTGTTCCGATCTCCTTCCTTATTCCAAAGAGCCCGAAATTTTTGTCGCCACGAGATCTCCTCCATACTAGCAATCTCAGCAAGAACCGCCTGACAAGAGGCTCTCTTAGAACGTAGAAAGTCCACATCCCCTCCCGCCTCCTCAAGACGATCAATCTCGGAAAAATCTTCAAGTACTCTATTCTTCCTCCATTCCAGATTCCCGAAGACATCCTTGTTTCACTGCTTAAGAGCAAATTTGAGAGCCCTTAACTTCTTTGTTATTGTGAAACTGGGCGATCCTGAAATAATAACTCCCTCCCACCAAGATCTGACTTTCGCTTGGAAATCTTCCACTCGCAGCCACATATTCTCAAATCTAAACGGGGATCTTTGAGAACATAAACCCCCACAATCTAAGACCAAAGGAATATGATCAGAGGTGACCCTTGCTAACACCGCCTGAAAGACATCTGGGAATTTCTCTTCCCAATCCCCGGAAATTAAAAATTTGTCCAGTCTTGAAAGAGTGATTGGATCCCTACCATTTGACCAAGTATAGGTTGCGCCTTCCATTAGTAAGTCAACAAGAAGATGCTCGTCAATAAAATCAGAAAATTGATCCATTTCCAATGATCTTCCCCCTGTAGACCTCTCTGATGGGTACCTAACAGAATTGAAATCCCCTCCCAAGCACCAAGGGAGAGACCACAATCCTTGGACATGGCAAAGCTCCTCCCAAAAGATACATCGCTTATCATCAACAACCGGTCCATAGACTCCAGTAAAAACCCATCTGAAGTTGTCCTCTTCCATCTTAAGCACACAAGATACAGAAAATCTCCCCATCCAGATGTCCGTTCGAGATAACCATCTACTATCCCACATGACTAAGATCCCATTCGAAGAACCTATGGCATTCAGGGCCTCCCATTCCACAAATCTTCCTCCCCACAAACTCCTAACCACCCTGTCAGAAATGGATGCCAACTTGGTTTCTTGTAAACAAACAAGTTGGGCACCCCACTTCCTTAAAGCTACCTTCACCACCCTTCTCTTATTCGGATCATTGAGACCATGAACATTCCATGTAATGATTCGTAGCTTCATTGCAAACTAGATAAAATTATCTCCCCTCCACCCTTCCTAAGACTGTTGCTCCTGGTCCTTCCCCTTTCCTTCGCAACTTCTCCTTTCCCTTCGTAGTTGACTTCAGAAATAAAATTCTTCATCTCCTGTACTCATTTCCAAGACGGTAAAGACCTATTGTTCATAACTTCATTGTTCACTGCAACCTCTCTGCCTTCCACAATTGCTTGAAGGATAGATAATGTCTGATCGTCATTACCTTCTGAAGAGACTCCCAAAAGCTCACTAGTGACTCTAATATTGTCAACTACCCAGTCTTTCCCCATGTCAGCAACATGTTCGTCGGGTCGCACCATAGCCAGTGGTTCCTCCTGTAGGATTTCAGAACCATTCTCTATCCAAGGTGTAAGCTCATTGGAGCAAACCTGTTGGATAGAACCCAAATCATCAAACACCTCCTCTTCTAGCTCCCTGTTATTCTCATAAAAAGAATCTGATACTGTAACAAAATCGCCCATCCCAGCGAATCTGCTAGAATCATTCTCGTCAGCCCCTACATAAGGCAAGCAATTAAGACCTTTCAGTGCTACACTTAAACGAAGCTCTTTGAGCAAAGCTATAGCCTCTTCATTGGACAACTGAAAATGCAAGTCTCTGCCCACACAGATTGTAACCCCTTCAGATAATTTCTTGATTGCACAATCTGCGATTTTCATCTGCCTAGAGATGCCAGACTCACTATCTTCCTGTCCTTCTGTAATCAGCCCATGCGAAGAGTTAGTTCCATTGTTCGTAACAGTTAACCCGCACCTCTTCTCCAATTACGGCACAACACCGGCACTCCTCAACACACTAGAATGGGTAGAAGAAGAGGATGGAACATTGAAACTTTGAGGATGTGAAACTGATGGCCTTGGAACATTAGTAGAAGTCCACTTCTGCTCCTCTTTTCGAGACCATCTAACTCCATGACGGTTTCTGTTAAAGTCCCGAGATGAAGACTTGACAATTTTTCCCTTCGGCTGTGAAGTATCAGAGAGGGATGAAGATGAGATGCCTGCACAACATTGAGAATGACGAGAACCCTTCTCAACAGGACCTCCACCAGTCGCGGCAGCAGATAAGTTCATCCATCTCTTCTTCTCCGGTGAATTCCAGAAGGTTGCAGAGGCATCATCAAAACGACGCCTCTGTAAATGGCCAACTCCTGTGGAAATAGGTG